GAGCCCCTAAACCCTCAACCTTAAACCCTAAACTCTAAACCCCTAAACCCTAAGCCTTAAACCCCTAAACCCCTAAACCCCTAAACCCTTAACCCTAAACCAGGCTTCGGAGCTTCAGGGCTTTCCTTAACCCCATAGAGGCCACCTTTTTATGTTTAAGGATCTATAGGGCATCATGAGAAGGAGCCCGAAGAACGGTAGGCTTTATATATATATATATACATATATATATATGTATATATATATTTATATTTATATTTATATTTATATTTATTTATTTATTTATAGAGTTTTAGGGCGTTCCGGTTGCAGGAGTTTAGGTTTAGGGTGGCCGGAGTAAAGCGAATCGAGAACTGAATAGAAGGGCCTGAATCACCAGCCCAGGGCTTAGGGGTATTATTGGGGTATGTTCTGCTCTACGTATGGTGTGGACAGTCAGGTCATAGCGTTCGCAATGATTCCCCCCCCCTCCTACCACCGAACATCTTCATGTCCACTATCGCACTCGCAACCCAGAGCCCTAAAACCCTAAGCCATGCCAAAGATCCGCACCCGTTTCGCGGTTTCGCGGGGCACCGGGCTAAGTCAACTGTAAACTCGCCTGAACCCTAGGGCCCCAGGGTGCAGGTAAACTCTGAACCTCAACAACCGAAACAAAGCACCCCAAAGCACCCCAAGGCGGCAGATCTCTTCGGTTTTACTAGTCTGTGCATACGCCCTGAGGGGGATGGGGAATTCCCAATGCCTGTGTAACTGACCCTTTGTATGCGCCCTAAACCCTACCGGAGAGTCAGCATCTTGAACATTCGAGGGTTGCGGTGTCGGGTCTGGGTCTATGAGTGCTGGAAAAGCAGCTGCAACCTAGGTCTACCTTCCGGGACTTTTGTGACACCTGTGCTGAAGCAAAAACTGATATGAAGTGGTACTTCCAAAAGTAGAACAGAAGCTTATCATGGAATGTGATCGTTACGTTGCCACTTCCGCTGCCTTGGTGGCGTTGGCTAGCCACAGCTCGACATTGAGCATGTCCTCGTCCTTCCAACAGCTCAGTGGCTCTGCTCTTCATCTCATGCGAAGGCTTCCACGCACTTTCGACAACGACTTAGCGATTTCTTCTGCATCAATTCGAGCGACAAGCCTAAGCCCTAAACTCTAAGCCCGAAGTCCTCCAGCATATACCCCTCCAGCTTGAAGGAGCCAAAATGCTTGGCCTGACAGAAGGGGACTCAGTGGCAGCATGAGTCATGATGAACCCGGGGGTTGTGGCAGGTGCACGACGACACGAGCTTCTGAACCCTTGACCTTAAACCCTAAACCCTGAACCCTAAATCCTAAACCCCTTGACCCTTAAAAACTGTAGAACTGGCAGAGAGGCTCCTAACTCGTACCAAGACGCTCCTTTGATGCTCTTCCCCTGAGCTTTCAACATGACATGCTAGCTGGACATTTGGTAATCGTAACCTCTATTTCTCTAAAACCCGGGTCTTAAATCCCCTATATATATACATATATTTATTTATTTATTTATTTATTTTTATATGTACATAATATATGTGTATACATACTACTATTAATATTAACATTAATATTGGTATTGATATTCATATTGAAACTCAAAACTAATATTCATATTAATTCGATACACCCCTGGCCCACAAGCTTTTGTCTGCTGTGGGCAGGTGCGCAAACTCGTACGCCTGCTTGTCCTTTATGACGCTCGCTGCGTCGATGGGAAGCAGGTTCGACCTCGACTCTTTCAGAGGCCTGAACTAGAAGAGAGGTCTGAGCCATGGGGCATATTATAGAACCCTCCTTGTGACTGAAAACTTAAGCTTATCAGCTAGTCTCCTACACCCCTAAGCCCTTTAAACTCTTAGGGAGGGCCAAGCCTCCTCAGCACCATGTGTGCAAGAACGGAAAAAACGGGCGGAGAAGCAACACGTCAGCTAAAAAGGATGCTCGTCCATGGGTCGCATCCTGCACAGCCTTTATAGGGGTTTAGGGTTTAGGACCAAAAGGACACAATGATGTTTCTGGGTCTCCCCCCAATTCAGGGCTCAGGGAACCCAGAGAGTCGCCTGTAAGTAGGGTGGTGACAACCCGAAATATCTCCAAGTGTGTCATCTTCGTTAGAACGCTGCGAATCCCTGAGCCCCACATCCCCAAAACCTACACGGTCCTACACCCCGTAGTTCGGTCCCCTCAGGGCTCAGAGGAACCACCGAAACCGTCTCTGAAGCCTCCTCGTTGCTGCAGGTCGGTAGATCCGCGACCGCACAACCCGCGAGCCGGTAAAGCCAAACTCCACAAACCTTCGTCCCAAAGCCCTGTACAACGAGCTCACTACAGTAATATAGGGGTTTAGGGTATACGATCTGATATGACATGACATGATATTGTCTTGTATTGTATTGTATGGTGCTGTAAGGTATTGTATTGTCTATTATCATAAACCCCTCCCCAGGGGTCCAAGTATCAGTTAAGTTTAGTATGCTCTTAGTAGGCATTTGGGCACACAAAGTAGAAACTATACTGTTGCTTGGACCCTTTGGGCCGTTTATTACCCTATGGTAGAACGCTGTTCAAACAAAGCACATCCAAACCCTAAACCCCTAAACCCCTACACCCTAAATTAACCATCATCCCTAAACCCCTAAATAAACCCTAAGCCATCATCCCTACAAGACCCTAAACCCTAAACCCCTAAACCCCTGAATCCCTAAACCCTAAGCCAACGTCCCTCAACCCTAAACCCCTGAACCGGAAGCCATCATCCCCAAACCCCAAACCACGGAACCCTAAACCCCTGAACCCTAAGCCATCAACCCTAAACCCTAATCCCTACACCCTAAACCCCTGAACCCTAAACCCTAAGCCCCAAACCCCTGAACCCGAAACCCTAATCCCATACAACACCGAGGCAAGGCCAGGCTGCAGGGACCAAAGCCGTCCCGCCGTGGCAGCCCTGGGCTTCGTAAAACCGACCTCCAGGGTCTCTTCGTAGGTGTTTCATAGGGTTTAGGGTTTAGGGTTTATAATGGGGTTTAGGGTCTATAGTAGGGTTTAGGGTTTATAATAGGGCTTAGGGTCTATAATAGCTAGGGTTTAGGGTATAATAGGGTTTAGGGTCTATACTAGGGGTTCGGGTTTAGGGTTCATTCATAATAGGGTTGAGGGCTTGGGGTTTAGAGCAGGGGGTTAAAACTAATTATAGAAAAGGCTTTAGATGATTATGAAATGTGGTATGAGGATTCTCGATGGGTCCCGGGCGGCATTTCAGATTCCATCAAAATGTTTCACAACGGGTTCTATACACGTCTCATGCGTGTTTGATACGGGTTCTACAAAAACCTTCATCGCCGCTTTAAGCTCTTTTTAGAGAGCTTACGCAGGTTCTACTAGGTTTTTACGCGTCACGCGTGGGTTTGGGGTATATTCAGTCTAGGTTAGGTTAAAGCCTAAACCCTAAACCTTCAAGCCGGCAACCCGAAGACCCTGAACCCTAGAAGCCCTAAACCCCAAAAGCCCCCAGAAACTGAGGAGCCCGGCCAGGTAGCGCTTCAGCAGCACATCGCTGAGAAACAGCAAGCCCCAGTAGGTCCAGGTGGGGTGCGCATGGCACCATCTGGGCAGCAAACCCTAAGAGTCCAGATTCTACCTATACCGCATATTTAAAATACCTGTAATAGGAACCCCGCTAGGGCCAATGTATATAAAGTATCATCAATCCTGGACGTGCATCCTTTGGGGTACAAGAACTCGTTGCCCCCTATATCTCCTTGCAAGCAAAGGTTCGGTCTACAGGCTACAGACATACCCTTCACGTTTAGTCTCGAGGTCGCAAAGACCCAGACCTTCCAAAATCCCTTCAATAAGGAAACGCACCCATACATATATATATATATACACACATAAAATTCAGGGATCCTGACAATAATTTAATGTATATATTCCTGAGTTCAGGGATTTTGGAAGGTCTGGGGAAGTCAGTGCATGCGGGCTGTGCCTGGCTCCATGCTCGAGCGGCCACAAGCGCAGGCGATACTCGTAGAACATCTCGCCCCTAGGCCAAGGCCAGGTTCTCGCTCAGGAACTTCGTGTCTAGAGTTGAGAGTTACTATATTATATACGTCAATAATGGTAGCTTAAACTAACCTTCCTCAGGGGTTAACACACTATAAGAGAGTACCATACGGTACATACCACTACAGTATGGATACTTCAACTCTGTAGATGAGTATGCTCGTGCAGCTTGTCGGTTAGCTTGTACAACGAATGTGTTACAGATGTTGCTGTGGGGTTGAAACATGGCTAGGATCCCGAAGCAGCATCGAAGTACACTTTTCAGAAATGCACACTATGTCAAACACATACACCTAACAAAGTCCTTTCCCCAGAAACCCCTAATATCAAACCAAAGCGTCATCAAAGGTGATGAGTCCCGAACCCCGAAGCCCTACAAACTACAAACCTACATAGAACCCTGTGTTTTCGAGGCCTCATGAAAACAACAAGCAAGAACTGCTCCATCCGCTCTTAGGTACCTCAAACTTCGTGAAGCAAAGACCTGCTACGCCACATGTGCCTAGAGGCCCCGGGACATTCCACAGCCTTCAACCTTCACAAATCTTCACCTAACAGTCCAGAAGCCTCATTCATCGACACATGCAAACCCTGGCCACCAACTCCACATGCTAATCGCCAGCCAGGCCCGCACTCCCTGAATAGGTAAGTGCAAGAACTTGAGCCGGTGGAGTGAGTGGCCCTATCCCAGCAGAAGGATTTGTTTAGCATCTGCGCTCGACGGACAGGCGAGGCCTCAGTGCTGTTGCTCCTGTCGGTTGCAGGTTAGATGGTGAAACGCTGTTTTCAGCAGCAGCAGCATTACATTTTCCGCGGTGACCTCAGCAAGTCACCGAACAAAAGAGCCGACAGAAGGAATTGTTCGTGGCATTAAGCAATCAGTTAACATTAATTATGGTTTTCACGGCTACATCAACTTAACCGCCACCATGGCCTGCCATCAAATTGGCCGCCAGGTCTTGCGCAAGCCGCTGCAGCTTCGTGCATCGCCGCACCGCGATGTCGCGGAAGTCCTCGTTAAAATTGACCATGGAATTTGTATCCATGTGCTCTTCCGGTGGGAGCTCGTTGGAAAGGAGTTCCAAACTTGGGTGCCGTGTCAGGAATCAGCACTAATTTAGTGCTGATTCCTGACATGGCGCCCGTCGTGGCAGCCTGCCCGGCCGTGCTTTGACCACTATTTCACCAGGATCGCCGGGACCTATCCCCAGCGCCAGACACAGCGGGCCCGCGTCACTCGACCCGGGCCTCCATGTGAACAGGCCGAGCAGCATGACCTCGTTGGCCGTCTCGATGTCGGCTTCGCATAACTTCTTCAGCTCATCCTTCGGCACATGCAAAAATTTGACTAGGTCTTCATCAAGATCTGTGACGTCGACTGCAACGTCCACGCACAATGCCAAAGTCTTTGCTGCTTCCACCAGCCCAGCTGCAAGCATGGGCTCCCTCGTGGTTGTCTCGACGGTAGCCGTCTCGTTGTTGGTTGCCGCTGAAGTTGCAGCACACCTGGCTTCGTGAAGCCGAAGGCTCCAGCCGAAGCCCTTCAACCCAAAGATGCCCACGTTCGTGCCGCAGTGACGACAGCGAGCTCTAGAGCAGGGCGCCATTGCATGGGCTCGGCTCGCTGACAGGGACGTTCAAAGTGGAGCCAAGCAGAGCTTGAGCGGTGGCCATGTAGCTGTGTAGGGTGACCCCTAACCGAAGGAGTTGCCTGCTGGGCCCGGTCCCTTTCTCATCTCCGTTTTGGATAGGCAAGCTCAACGGACATAGCCTGGTCTCAGTATAGTATCCAGCCTTCCAGGTTGTCTTGGGTGGGGGACTCACTCAGCCCTGGACGGGCGCGTGTCGCGGGCCATCCAGTGAACTGGCCTCGGAGGACGGTAAAGCTTAACAACAACAAACCTAAACTCTAAACCTCCGTATCGCATGTGTACGGCGAACTACTCTCAGCCGTGTCAAGAATGATTGATCAGGGTTGCAGGCGCTGAAGCACCACAAGAGCATGGTTTTGGGTTTTGGGTTATCTTCTGACCATGCTCCGGAAAGCCATCCGCTTTGGGAATCTTGCCTGCCCTAGCTGCAACTTCTCGCAGCCGGGTCGCATCAACGGGAATGGGTAGCTCCGGGTCGTCTGTTGCCTGCGGCGAGCTCTTGCTAATTAATGCGGGTTTAGGGTTTAGGGGTCGTGCTGGTATGGGACAAGCCACATCATAAAGCAACCTCAGCGTGGCTGTCTCTAAGACTGTCGACAAGTGACAACAGCACGTGAAGCTCGTCTTCACCAAACCCCGCGGGCCTACCGAAAAGATATCTTCCAGATCGAACAACAACATTCGCAGGCTCACAATCTCAAATCGGAATCCCAGAGAGCAGCTTCTGGTTCCTAGTTGTTGATTTCCCTGGCCCACAAACGGTTAAAACACAATCTATGATATGATTGTTTCATCTAGGTGTTGCTGTTTAGACAAGGAAAGTCTGTCTGTCTGTCTGTCTGTCTGTCTCTGTCTGTCTGTCTGTCTGTCTGTCTCTCTCTCTCTCTCTCTTTTCCTGACGCTTTCTCTCTGCCGTGACATAAGTGTGTGTATATACATATATATACATATATATATATATATCAACACACTCAGAGTATGTGCCGTGTGCTTTGCACGTGCCAAGCCTTTGGACCTAGCCTCAAACTCTCAGGGCCCTAAGCTAATTCCAAACCCCGACACCACAAAGCCCTAAATCCCCAAACCACTGGAGCCCTTAATCCCCAAACCCTGAACCCCTTTTTAACAAGAACCCTGAAATCTTGTATCCCAAAACGCTGAAACTTGAAACCTTTGTAACAAAAAAACACTGAATCATTGATCCCGAACGACAACCGCGAAGATCCAGCCTGGCTGCCCCGAAAACTCTGTCGACAAGCGGTGCCACAAGCTGATCCACGTCGAGTTGAACACCAACTGAGGGCCACTGAGGGTTTAGGGCTTACCGAAATTCTCCATTGTAGTTCCTTCTTGGGGTCACCTTTTAGGATCCTTAATATAAACTTGGTAAAACCCAAAACAGGAACTACAATGGAGACTACAGGCATACTCACGCTGTGCGAGTTCAGGCTTTCGGGCTTATCGCTGACGGCTAGATTCTAGGTTGAGGCTGAGCGTGTCGGACTGGAAGACTGGCTGACCCTAAACCCTAAACCCTAAAGCCTAAACCCTAAATCCTAAACCAGAAACCTCTTCTTCCAGGCATCGCAGCGTTGGAGTTTCTACTGAGAAGCAGAAGCTCCAGAATCCCTGTAAACCCTAAAACCTAAGGTCCTGAACCCTATAACCCTAAGCATGATAATATCAACATCCTAATAAGCCCTAAACCCCAAATCCTAAACCCAAACAGACAAGCTGGAACATGAGGTTGAAAAGGTCCGTCGACACCAAGAGCCGAAATCCCGTTATCCGTTTAAGGTTTAGGGTTTAGGGTTTCAGGGTTTAGGGTTTAGGGTTCTCCCAACTCTCTGCAAAGCTTGAGGAAAGCTCCGGGATTCATGTTGCAGGGGGATGCGTAAAAGTTTGAGCCACAGCTACAGTACCTTCTGAACCGTCCTCATCCGAACCAGATCCTAACATAACGTGCAGAGTAATTCGGTTGGACTTCTCACAGTTAGCAAAAGTTTCCGCAACAGCCAATGAAACTCCAGAACCCATAAACCACCTATGTCGAGCAGCAGTTTAAAAGCCGGGTCCAAGCTTGCCACCGACAACCCTCGACGCGATCATGCTGCGGATCTGGCAGAGCTGATGGGTTAGAAGCAACGCCATGCCCAATCGTTTATAGCGTTTTGTGGTTACCTATAGCCTATAGTCACTATAGTCTCCATTGTAGTTCCTGTTTGGGGCTACCTTTCAGGATCCTTGGTCTGGTAAAACCGGAATAAGGAACTACAACGGAGACGGATAGGTCTAGATTCCGATTTCAATTCTCAACTATTCAGCCGGCGACGTGACTAAAAATCGATTGCAATACGCTCAGCGACCTGTGTGCCCGTGGTGTCCAGGCACGGCAGGTGTCTTGAAATCGATGTTGAGTGATTTTGCCGCTTCCGGGCTGAAATGAACTACAGATCCGATGTTGCATAAGTGAGTGAGTGTGTGTGTGTGTGTTTGTTTTTTCCGGCGCCGAGGTTTTATTCCAGAACGCAATGCAAGGCTCCAGAGACCCTGAGAAAGCCAGAGGCTCACAAAGGCCTTTAGAGGCGCGCAAAATGTCTCAGTGGACGAGGCCCCAAAACGACTGCGTGAGCGAGGGAAGTGAGTGAGTGAGTCAGTAAGTGAGGGAGTGTGGGATTGAGGAAGTGAGTGAGCGGGTGAGTGAGTGAGTGAGTGAGCGAGCGAGTGAGTCAGTGAATCAGTGAGTCAGTGAGTGAGAGAGTGAGTTGTTGAGTTGGTGGGTGGGGTGGACGGATGGTAAACTAAAGGCATAGTAAATTAAAGCCTATGGCAGTTGCTGTCCCAGACGGTTTTGTTTTAATAAAAGCTGCTTGAAACCGTATCCGAGATCACAGTGGCGCTGTTTCGGGTTTGAGGGTGTAGGGCAAGGCTTCTCCCGGTACGCGCTACAGTCTAGCCCCCCATGTTAAAAAAAAACTGAGGAGCTCTATGGGACCTTCGCAGAGACCCCTCTATACACTTAGACGAAGGGTTCACGAGTCAAAGGTTTGGGGCGCCGTAAAGCATTTGCAATTCAATGTAGATTTAAAGCCCTCCACTGGGTTCAGAGGTGGAGGTCAGTTAAAGTCGGTTTTAAGTGATCACGTGGTGCGTCAGCATAAAAACCACATAAAATCCGTCCCGGCGGCCTGGAGGTCAAGGCGAACTTAAATCGATGTTGACCGATTACGGGGTGCAGGAGAAATACAGCTTAGATTCAATACCCTCCCGCCGGGTTCAGAGGTCGATATCAGTTCAAGTAAACACTGAGCTGATTGCACCACCCTAAACCCTTAGACGAGGGAATCAACATCGATTTTGAGTGATCTTCGGGCTAGAAACCAGGGAAGCAGCTGAAATCTGTTCTACATAGGAGACTCCTGTTCTGAATCGAGAAATCCTGGAAGCACGACTTAAACTCGGATTTGATGGACGACTGAAGCTGGAATCCAATCATTTTTCAATGGAGACTATAGGTACATGTACTGGGTTTAGGGTCGAGAGGCAGCTGTGCGAAGGACAGTAACAGCAGCAACAATCACGCTACGAACGACGACTGTGAAATTACAAGAAGTAATGAACCGTATGACTAGTCTTGACATCAACACTGGTACTGACGTTGTGACAATGTTCACACATGCCCATGGCAATACTACCGAGGGTTTTGGATCTACCCCTACCTAAACCCTATTCCCCTATAACCACCCATGAACCCTGAACCCCTAAACCCCAAAAAACATAAAGTCCGAAACCCCCTAAAGCACGAAACCCGCCTACGTCATCTGCCCCCCCAAAAAAAAATCGCGAGGTTTAGGCTTCCTAAACTCTCACGAGTCCTACTTTGCTCAGGAGCCTTGTTGAAGTTGAAGGAGACCGGGTAGTTCATGCCAGGGAGCATCCTCAGGGTTCAAGGGCAGGTCTTTCCTATTCTTTGGGGTTTCGAGTGTAGGGTTGGGTCTCCGGGCTCTCAGTCTTGGGTGTAGGCCCTTGAAAATCAACAATGTGTGTGTGTGTGTGTTGTGTGTGTGTGTGCGCGCGCTCTGTTGGGCTGAAATTTATAGGGCTTAGGGATTCAGGCTGCAGGGATCTACGTGTATCAAAATAACAATTAGACAGTTTAAGTTGCAGGACTTGGGCCATGAGCTCGGCATAAGGTTGCAAGGGGGCCGGGTCGAGAAGGCTCCAGCTTTTGTTGGGCCCAAGATTATGAGTTGGCTTTCTTCATGGTGTAGCTACAGTCTCCATTGTAGTTCGTGCTTTGGGCTACCTTATAGGAGCCGAAATACAAAACTGAATAAACCTAACACACACTACAAAGGAGCCTGTCGGCAGGCTTACAAAGGCCTGGTGGCTTTCAGGGTTGAGGGTTTAGGAGCAAAAAGGATCATGAACAGCAATCAAAGTACCGAAGATGCACAGATGGATTTGTCAAACATGCTGGCCCAGGACATGTGTACTTCTCTAACTCCGGATTCAAGCCAAACAGTACATTGGCAAGAGCCCCTTCGAATCTGCTCTCAGAGTGTAACCGACAGACATCCAGAAGGAAGCTGGACTTCATCGGACCCTTAGGGAACCACCTGAAAGCTTGTGAGCACCAAGAACACTGAAAGCCTGAAGCCCCAAATCCTACGGTTAATGATATAAGCCCTGCATGACCCATAATAAGTTATATACCATAAATCCCACAGTTTAGGGCCCTTAAGGCAATGCAGGATTTATATCATCAACAGTATCCTTAGAAGTTTCAGCCCGCCCTCCCTGCCCCCCCAGAGTGCCAAACCCTAGCTCCTAAACCCTAAATCCTAAATCCTAAACCCTAAACCCTAAATCCCCAAAGCCTAAACCCTAAACCCTAAACCCTAAATCCCCAAAGCCTAAAGCCTAAAGCCTCCGAGCCGGAACTCAGTCCGCAC